TTTTATAAAAAGTATATAATAATATGAGTAAGCTTAATACTATGCCTGGCAAAAAGTAGGCACTCATAATGTTTACTGAAGGAATTACTGCTATTTGTCAATGAATAAATTTAGTCATTAATGAGAAAAGAGAGATAAAATGGGAAATCACTTACTATAATCTATGCTAAATTGAGCAACTCCAGAACCAGGATAGTAGGAACCTTTCTCCACAGTGATAAAACAATGCTTATTTTGTCTTTCTTGAATAATTTCATCTACTCTTGCAGTTCCTTGATTCATCAAATTCCAGCCTCGCATACATCCATCTAGACGAGGATTAATCTAACAAAACAGAATATACGTCAAGGAGTGCATTTTTAACTTGTCAGACTGATAGTGGCTTAACTGATTATAGAAACAGGCTTTCACTTAGAGGGAAAATCTTTTCTTTTTGCATTTATCACACAGGTCTGTCTGTCTTGCCAATGTTTGAGTCTGATGGCAAGACAAATCTGTGTAGTAAATGCAATTAGAGAAAAATAGAAACCAGCCTAGAGCCCAGGGCCACAGCTAGACACATATATGGAACTTGAGAGCAGGAAAGTTACCCCTGCATGCCATAGAAGAGGCATGTAGGGCTTGAGGTATTAAAAATTATTAGGATCTTAATGGAGGCCTGTGGTGGCATAAACTCACTTTACCTGGAAAAGACTATCCATCTGACCAACACTTTGAAAAGAACATTTTAGATAAAATTCAAGATATTAAAAATATTTTTTAAATCAAAGAAAAGACTATCAGATGCATAGTCTTTTCCAGGAAGTGAGTTTACGCCACCACAGGCCTCCATTAAGATCCTAATAATTTTTAATACCTCAAGCCCTACATGCCTCTTCTATGGCATGCAGGGGTAACTTTCCTGCTCTCAAGTTCCATATATGTGTCTAGCTGTGGCCCTGGGCTCTAGGCTGGTTTCTATTTTTCTCTAATTGCATTTACTACACAGATTTGTCTTGCCATCAGACTCAAGCATTGGCAAGACAGACCTGTGTGGTAAATGCAATTAGAGGACCCCGTGTGTTTCCATTCTGTAGCCTCACCATGGCATCCAGTCAGACTGAAGATATGTGGTGGCCATGTCATAAATAGTTGATTCTTTTTGAATAATTTATTTTATTGTTAAAGTGTCTGGATTTATCAATTTCAAAGAACAGGTATATTCACTCTGACATGGGTTAACTAATTCAGGTTTTATATCATATTACAGAAATCTTTTAACTTAAGGTAACTGTGAATTGCCATGAGTGAAAGATAGATATAAAATAGTAAATATTTAAGTTAAATCAGCAGGTGCAATTGGCAGATCCATGAATACAGATGAAATATTTAAAACTCTCTAAGGACAGTGATCCGTCTCCTTCATGAAACCTATTCTACTGTTATTAAACATCACATTCAGAAAATCATCTACTGTATGTAACTTCAATTTATGACAAGCTGCAGTCATACTGCTAGTAAAGATTTCTTAAATAAAAAAAGTTCCACCTTATATGCCATTCTTATCTCCCAAATTTAAGTTCTAAAGTAGACCTAAGAAAGCTCTTTAACTGACTTTATAAAATAATGTATTTGGGGATTCAAATATATGTAGTTTTATGTTTAATGGCTATGTACAATTATGATGTTAGCCGTGAATTAAAGCTTAAGAATTTAAAATTTTCTATTTCACTGCAAGCAAGAATAGAAAAAGGTGGTTCTCTTCCCAAAGTGGAAGACAAGCTTATCAGTTATGTGAAGCATTGCTTCCAACGACTGACCAAGAGGCCTTTCAAGATCTCTGACAGTAGAGGAAGTTTCTTTAAGAAAATACTTCAGTTTGTTAAAAGTGTTCACCTTAATTCATTTTTGTAACAGTTGATATATGGCTGTCCTTTTTATAATGCATCATGAGAACTTTCCCTATCATGTCTAATAAATGTTTTCCAAGTTCTGGTGCCAAAATAAAAATAAAAAATAATAAAATTGCTGGAGGTTAAATTGGCTCAAAAACACTATACTCATTTTTCTGTTTTCTTAATATAACTTCAAGGCCCACTAATGTTATTTTTCCATGTTCAATTCAAGTTGTCACAGTTGGTGTGTTCAATAAAATAACTTCTTTTGACTTTGGCAATATCTTTTCAAATCTATTACAAATAAAAGGAATTCATCCCTGATGAATGAATGTAAAAAGCTTGGATCCTTACCGGCTTAATGAGTGTATTCCTCAGTGTCCGAGGTAAGCCTGCAAAGTATACTTTGGTTTCTACAAATCCACTTGTAGACTTAAAAAGGCTCTCTGGTTTATTTATATTCATTATGGCTTCTCTAGCTATTTTCACACTAATACTCTGTTCTAATTCTTCCACAGAGACCTACAATTAAAAAGACAGAGATTATCAAACAACCAAACATCCTTGAATGTCATATTAAATACTAATTTTGAATAATCCTGTTAATATTCCAGTAAATAGTTTTCTAAAGTAATCATTTAAATGTAATTATTAATTTGCCCCAATACATTTGAAATGTCAACTGATTATAGAGATGATAAAAAATGTGTTTTAAATGAATAGTACATGATTAAAAATGAAATGACTGTCTTTTAAAGTTTAAAAAAATCAATGTTATTCTGTTAAATTTAAACATCCAATTAAAATATGTATTCTTCAAGCCAGTGTGTCATAAAATGGATAGTTTTTAAAAAGTGAGTCACTTGCCGAAACCGGTTTGGCTCAGTGGATAGAGCGTCAGCCTGCGGACTGAGGGGTCCCGGGTTCGATTCCGGTCAAGGGCATGTACCTGGGTTGTGGGCACATCCCCGGTGGGAGATGTGCAGGAGGCAGCTGATCGATGTTTCTCTTTCATCGATGTTTCTAACTCTCTATCTCTCTCCCTTCCTCTCTGTAAAAAATCAGTAAAATATATTTTAAAAAAAAAGTGAGTCACTCTACAAAATCTTAGAAAATGTTTGTGTTCTTACTTGACAATTGTATTATAATACACATAAAGAATCAATAATGTAAATAAAGTATTCATATAAATTAAGAGAAATCAGTACATTCATCATTCTGGTTATTACACAACAAATAATATTTTGTTTCAAAATTCCAAAGTAATTGAGATCATTAGGAAGCACAAAACATGAAATTTTAACTTTTTTTCCAATTTTGAAAGTAGTGTGGGTTCTAAAATAAAGGTTGGTAGTAATGGTAAACAACAATTAAGAAATCCTATAACGGCAATCCAAAGAACCATTGTTGCAATCTCATGTAAAACTGTATCATTCAACATGCAAATTTTTCATTTACTAATTATTAATGGAGGCCAAACAAAAGGCATATTAAAACACCACTATAGAAAGAAAACCTATGCTCTAAAGCAAAATAAATTTGGTAGCATGTAAAGATTTAGGCAGTGTATACTTTCTCCTTAATATAGCTAATCAAAAAATAGATCTAGAGACAGAGAAGCATCAATCAATGCTCAAATCTCAGAGGGGAAGCAGGAGAGGGTGAGGCTAAGGGGGAGATCAACCAAAGGACTTGCATGCATGCATATAAGCCTAACCAATGGATACAGACACGGGGATGGAGGGTGAGGGCATGAGTGGGGGGATGAGGGAACAATGGGGGGATAAGGACACATTTGTAATACCTTAATCAGTAAAGGAAAAAATATATATATATAGCTAATCATGTCACTTTGCCCTAATGACTATTCCCTCTTTGAAAGACATTTCTTAAAAAAAAAAAAAGAAAAGAAAAGAAAGGGGGGGGCGGAGGGGGGAGATGTTCCTAATAACCTTGCTTCTTCTGCCTTCTTATGATTTCTTCTCAGTCTCCTTGCTAGATTCTCCTCTTCTTCTCACTCTCTATAAGCCCCAGAGCTCAGCTTCCTGACCTTTTTCCTTCAGCCGTGCAAGTATTTCTAAATGGGAACTCTATGCTCCACTCTAGGGCATTGGAAAATGTGGGGTGGAGGGGGTACTTTTAGTTGTCACAAGGAGTAGGAAGTATGCTGACATTGTAATATGAAGGATAATTGTGCAAAATAAATAATAAAAAATCCAATATCCTGCAAACCTTCTAAATAACCATACTGGATATTCTTGTAGGGCAGCAGTTCTCAACCTGTGGGTCGCCAACCTGTGGGTCGCGACCCCTTTGGGGGTTGAACGACCCTTTCACAAGGGTCGCCTAAGACCATCGGAAAAAACATATATAATTACATATTATTCATTATTCTATGTATAAGAGCAATTAATTTATTAATAAACCATCAAAATAATTTATGGATTAAATTACTATTACTGATGGCAACCCCATTTATGCAGTTATGGTATTTGAGCTGCCAGTACAACACTCAGCATAAGTCTTCATTTATAGCTTCCACATTATTCATTATTCTATGTATAGGAGCAAGATTTGACAAGTATTATACTTGTATTGAACATTTACAAATTGAAATATATATTCTTATAAATTGCTTTCCTTCATGTATATAATAATTGAAGCATTCTATTGGTTTCTATTAGGGATATGTGAAGGTGGTTTTCATTATTGATGCATTTCATTATAGGACAGTAAAAGAACATTATAAATATTTGGACAATGGATGAGAGAGTTTAGAACCGCCAGTTGATATACTCAATTTCATGGCCTTTAACCCTCTCTTTATGCTAGATATTTGAAAGTTTATATGTACCTTGAAGGCTTGACCTTAAAAATATACCCAGAATCAGATCACTTCTCACCACTCACACGATCAATACTCCAGCCAAAACTACTATCTTCTCTCTTCTAGGTTATTTCAATGGTCTCCTGGCTCCATGTCCTGTTCTACCCTTATTCTCTACTATCTAGTTTCCACAAAGCTATGAGGACCTAATCAAGATTATCTTTAAAAATGCAAATTAGATTATGTCATGTCTCAAAATCATCCAATATCTTTCTACTTAGCATAAAATCCAAGTCCTCGTGCTCGCTTCGGCAGCACATAGACTAAAATTGGAAGGATACAGAGAAGATTAGCATGGCCCCTGCGCAAAGGATGACATGCAAATTCGTGAAGCGTTCCATATTAAAAAAAAAAAAAAAAAAAAAATCCAAGTACTCACTATGTTCTCCAACCCTACATGATGTTATTCCAGATCATATTTCTAGCCTCATTTTCTACATGCTCTCTTTCTGTCTCACTCCACTGCATCTACACTGACCTTTGTGTTATTCCTCAGACACATCCTCTTGCCTAAGACTGTATTTGCTGTTCATATGGCACAGGATCATCTTTCCCCATATATTTCTCATGACTTTTGCCTCAAATATTTGCTCAAATGTAATCTAATCAGAGATAGCTTTCCTGATTCCATTTGCACATTCACCATCATCATTCTCTATTGCCTGGCCTTCTCTTTTTCCTCATAGCATTCATTATATCTGACATATCTATTTATTTGTGTATTTGTGGTTTTCATCTCACCACTACTAGAATGAAAGTTCCATAAGAGCAGTGACTTTATTTTATTCATTATTGTATCCTCACCACCTAGACAGAATATCACATAAAGTGCAATAAATATTTTGCTAAATGAATGAAATTATTATATAAATTATAGATTTCCAACCAATATTAGGATTAAACCCAAATATGAGATATAATAATCATTCTAAACAATCAGTATTTATTTATTTGCATTATAGTCATTATAAGTACTTAATAAGTACACATTCTATTCACTTTAGCTGAATTATAAAATAATTGTCATGCATTTCAATTTTGATTTATTTTTAAAGTATTTTATTTTAAATTTTTAAATAATTTAAAATTGGTGAAACAGTCATTTTATAGTAAATACTCTACTAACTTAAAATATTTATTTCAAATAATTTCTGTGCTGAATAAATTTGTTCAGCAAAATAGTATAATTTATTAATAAACCATCAAAATCATAAGCTGGTAAAATAGCCCGTGGTAATTTTTTAAAAACAAAAGATACAGAGTGAGAAAAAAATCCTACTTATATGGTGGGGAGGAATTCATAAATTGTTAAAATATTGAATTAAGAACTTAAGAAAAACTACCAATACCAAATTTATTACCAGATTAAAGTTTTTCTCTGACTTGTTTATAGTTCTTACATTTTATTTTTATATAAAATTGAATTGTTTATAAAGGAATAATTTAATTAAAATGTTTTAATTGAAACATGGATATACATTAAATACTTTCTTTTAAACAAGGATCATAAACATAGAGGACAAAATGCATTAAACTGAATTGCTGCCTTACATCCAACCATTAATCTTGCCTTCAGCAGTATGATTCATTGCCAATTTTTTGTTTGTTTTTAAATATTTCCCTTCTGTTTTCTTGATTCTTGTATTAAATTTATGGGGTGACGTTGGTTAATAGAATCATATAGTTTTCAGGTGTAGATTTCTAAGATATAAGATCTGTGTGGCCACCACCAAAGTCAAATCTTCTTCTGTCACCATCTCTTAGGTCCCCTTTTATAAATAAAATTTTAAAAAATAAATACAATCTACAACTCATGTTGTTAATCTCACAGGTAAATAGTTACCTTCTTCCTTATACATAATATATTCTACTTAGACATTTACCAAATTTTCCTTCAAACAGCTATTTTCTATTTGTATAAACTCATTGGGGGAAAATGTTTATCCTCTTGCTGAAAGTGATTTTAGTGATTTGAGATATGTGTTTGGGACATTAGGCAGTAAAATATATCCTTTAGCTAGATTCATAAACTGCTCTTGATACAGGGGTAATAGGAGAGACATAGTAGCAAAGCATCTAATGAGAGCATACAGAGTCAGAAAATTTTAGTGATTTTTCTGACAGTTGCATCTAAACCTGTGCAGACATATTCTTTTAGAGTTAGGAGCCCAAAATCTATGGCTATCAAAGGACAGAAAGCCCTTCTTTGGTGAACCACATTTGTGCTCAACTGACTTTATCACTCCTTCTACTGTAGCATATTTCACATTCCATTGCATTAGTCCATAAACCCACACAGATATGGACAACTAATTCATAAGGCAACATCAACTACTAAATTGTGAGGTGCTAAGTTCAAGAGTAAGAAAGACCAGTTCTTAGGAACTTAGCACTTTGAAAGTGCTCACTTTAAGTGTATTGAATAGATGAGTGCATGAGTGGGTAAATAATGGAATGAAATAATTTAGTGATGACTTCACATGGCATCACCACATGGACTCTCATCAGCTCCCACAGGCATAGAAAGTTCCTCTTTGGGGTGCCACATTCTAAGGTGAAGCTGGTCTTAGCTAGCCTCTCCTGGAAGAAATGATTGGTTCTATTGCAGAAAAGAATTCTCTTCGCTATAGACTTGCAGTAATCCCTTCTCAAAGAAAATCTCCACTATGATCCAGTTGATTAAAATGTTATTATTAAAATGAAGGCTCATGATTAGGGATTATCTAAAAATGCTAGTTTCTAGGCACTCTGATTGCTACCAGCTAATGTAAACTGTACAAACTGATTATCTATATGCTAATATTTAAAGCTGAAGTAACTTTGATTTTGTTCCTAAGTGTAATTCTTTACATTTAAAAAAAGATTGTTGGCTATCCAGTATATCTATCCTTGATCAGTGGTGTCTTTACATAAACTAGTTTGCCAGCTAATAATCTTCGAACTATTCAGCCAGTGACAGACACTAAAAAGGGTAAGAAGCTAAAGACAGACAAGGTCAGGCAAATAACTGGAAACAACTTCAGTTATGAGAAATCTTAAATACATTAAGGGAGGTTATCCTTCCTCAGACTGTTTCATGGATTTGCAGTACATAGAATATACTTCATATAACATCAGATTAAAACCAAATCCACTTAGGTTTGGTACCACTAAACCTAATAAAAATAAATTATTAATGATTTTATACAAACTGTGTCAAAGTGGACAGATTCTTTATGAAATCTGAACAACGTACCATATGCCATAGACCATTATTAATAACTTGGCCTCCAGTTGTGATTTGGGTTGTATGTTCATTCTTAAACTGAATTTCAAGCTTTCCATCACGAAGTGCAATCAGGAGCCAAGCTGAGTGGTCAAGAGCTTCTGTAAACAGGATAACACCTTCGGAATCATATGTCCGGAAATCAAATGTAGCTGAAAATCTAAATAACGGACAAAGAGAGAGCCTTAATAGTGAGAACATGGAAGGCTCAATGTATTATTCTTTTTTTTCTTGTACTGGCAAAAAGCAGTATGTTGAGTCAACTACTTCCGTCCCTGGAATTAATAAAAGAAAAGGGCAGAATTAGATTGTTGGTGTATTATCTCTGGCTCCATGTGTGTTTAAAATCAAGTTATTAAATTTTCTTGCTTATTATTGGAGTCTCTTTTTTTCCCAGAGAACAGATACTTTGGTAATTTTTCATCTTTTTTTGGCATTTGTTTTGGAGGCACCTTTCAAATGTTGGGATTAAGGCACATGTACAAATATTAGACATATTGAATCTCTTCTGGAACCTTTTATACACTATATAATCTGATTAAGATTCTTTTATTGCTGTATCTGTAAGTGGTTAGTGAAAGATATTACAATTTCATGATTGGTTTATCCATCAAAAAGCATATTCTCCCTATGATTTCATATATGTCAGGAAGGAATCACTCAGCATCTGAATGATTGCAAACACAGTTAAGCTTTCATGTGTGGTAGAAAAGGTAAAGTCAAAAGCTTTAAAATTTATCTATTAGCTTGATTTCAAAGGGTCTCCCAAACTCTAATAGCGTAAATCACTATACTAGATTACATGGTAAAAAAGTTTAAAAGATATAGTCTAATATTAGCAAACCAAATACAACAATACATTGAAAGGATCATATAGCATGATCAGGTAGAATTTATTCCAGGGATGTAAGGATGATCCAACATCCACAAATCAATCAATGTGATACACCACATTAACAAAATGAAGAATAAAAATCATATATTATCCCCATAGAAACAGAAAAAATATTTGCTAATATTCAACATCCATTTATGGTAAAAACTCTCAACAATGTGGGTATAGAGAAAAACATAGCTCAACATAATAAAGGCCATATGACATACCAACAGCAAACAACAATACTCAATTGGGAAAAGTGAAAGCAGAAACAAGACAAGGATGCCCACTCTTGCCACTTTTATTAGACTAGAGAAAGAAAGAAAAGGCATCCAAGTCAAAAAGGAAGAAGTAAAGCTCACTATTTGGAAATGGTATATATATATAGAAAACCCCAAAGATATCACCAAAAAAACTGTTAGAACTAATAAATGTTCAACAAAGCTGCAGGAAACAAAATTAATGTACAGAAATCTGTAGTGTTTCTATATGCTAATAACAAACTATCAGAAAGAGAAATTAAGAAAACAATCCCATTTACAATGTTATCAAAAAGAATAAAATACGCGTACCTAGGAATTAATTTACCTAAGGAGGTGAAACACCTATACACTGGAAAGTATAAGGCGCTGATAAAAGAAACTGAAGAAGACACAAATGAATGGAAAAACATTTTGTGCTGATTGGAAGAATTATTATTGTTAAAATATCCATATTACTCAAGGCAATCTACTGATTCAGTGCAATCCCTATTAAAATTCCAATGGCTCCGCCCTCCAGCGACAGGGCCCTCTCTCCCAAGGCAGAAGAGTCTGGCCCTCCACAATCCTCCTTCTCCTGACAACTCACTGTTCTCATCTCTCACTGGGGCTGGTTTTGTTTTCTTCCCTCTTTCTCCACCCACCTCTGTCTCTAGGTGTCTCCCTGTGTCTGTCTCTGTCTAAACCCCCTCCAGTGTGCTCTCTCTCTCTCTCTCAATTTCTGTTCTCTCTCTCTCTCTCTCTCTCTCTCTCTCTCTCTCTCTCTCTCATTCTCTCTCGTTCTTCCCCTTTCTCCCCTCTCAGTCTCTCTCTCCCTTCTCTGTTTTTCTGTCCTTTGGTCATTCTCCCTCTCGCCCTGGCTCCCTCCGCTTTCTCCCACTGGAACTCTCTGTCTCTCCCATCCTTCAGAACCTCCTCTTCTCCACCTCTGTCGGTCCTCTTTCT